GTGCGGAATTCGGGTGTTCAGATGAGTGAAGCCAAGGCCAGTGACATGGATGATGTGATAGACTTGACTACCAAGTGCCGATCCTCTGTGAGTGAGGTAAAACCTGCAAAACGCCAGGATGGCCAAGCGCTACAGAAACTGCCAGGGACCGATGAGCTATCGAGGGGGCAGGAAGAAGCCCTGCTGGGAAACATTCCTGCAGAAGGTGAGGCGGAGGGTCTGGGACCACAGCAGCACTTGGAGAATGAGCTGAGGAAAGACAGGAAAGAGATGACAGGATGGAAAGGCCAACAGCCTCAGCATCCAGAGGGGCCCGATTCTGTGAGAGCAGAGGATGGGAAGAAGCCCCAAGAAGAAACTTCTCTTCAAAATGTCAATGGCAATCCCCTTTCCAGCTACGCTTTGAAGAGAGAAATTTCAACCCAGAAAGCAAACAGAGGAGATGTTCAGAGTCTGAGACGTTCCAAAAGAAGAAAATCAGACTCCACCTGTATAGCCCAAGGAGCATCTCAAGGAGCCACAGATTGGGACACCAGAGAATGCCCAGGACACATGGAGTTAAATTCGGTGAATTTGCCAAGCACTGAAGAACCAGCTGGTCATTTCATCGACCACAAAATTCCAAGACTGACACTGTACACATGTCAGGTATGCGCAAAAGCGTTCCACTTTAAATCTGAGTTAATCATCCACCAAAGGACGCACACAGGAGAGACACCCTTCAAATGCAAGTCCCGTGGGAAGGGCTTCCTCCAGCCCTCAGATCTTCGAGCTCACCAGCAGATCCACACTGGAGAGAAGCCATACACCTGCAGTATCTGCCACAAGCAATTCACCCATGAGTCCACCCTGCACAACCACAAGAGGATCCACACGCAGGAGAAACCACATGAGTGCAAGGACTGCAAGAAACGTTTCAAGCACAAGCAGAACCTCAGCAGTCACCTCCGCATCCACACGGGACCCAAGGCCTGGAACTGAAACAGAACCTGACAGAAGAGCTTCAGAAACGGGTGGACACGTACGAGTGCCTCTGCATCTTCTCTGTGGCCAAGACGCTGAAAGACATCCAGAATGCCTGGAAGTACAGCCGGATGTTCTTTGGGAAAAACAAAGTGATGATGGGGGCCTTGGATGGGACCCAGCTGATGAATCCAAAGACAACCTGCACCAGGTCAGCGAGAAGTTGAGGGGTGAGGTCAGTCTCCTTTCACCAGCCATGGTGAGGAGGAGGTGAATGAGTGGTTCCCGAAATACACAGAAATGGATGACGCCCCAGCTGGTAATAAAGAGCTTTCACCGTGAGCCTGGATCCAGGGCCCCTGGAGCAGTCTCCCCACCCCATGGAGCCATGGCTGAGGCAGCTGGGCCTGCTCACCACCCTCAAGAGAGGTACTGCTGTCTGACTACGTGGTGTCCTGGGAGGGCAGCATACTAATGTCAGAGCAAGCCTGGGTCTTGAAGCTTTTTGGGTAGAGATGGCTGAATTCAAAGTGATCATGAAGTACGTGTGGATTGCACCATCTGGAAAGTTCCAGCAGATGGGAGATGACATGCCCGTGAGCACATCAGAGTCAGCAGAAGAATCAGAGGATGACAATGACAGATTGGGGCTCAGGACTGAAGACCTTCTAGCACCTTCCAGGTCTCAAGTGGACCATGTAGCTCAGCCCCCAGCCCTCTGGAGGGAGCAACTCTTTGCTGCAGATGAAGACAAGGGAGGGTGTTGGGCACTGGCTGTTTCTGTAAAGATTAAAACTGTCTTTGGGTGTGTTTGCCTGTAGACAACAAAAGGCACTTGTCTTAGAAAACAAAAACAAAACACAGAATGGGTCAGCCCAGTGGCCTGGTAGTTAAGGGAGCCAGATCACATGGCCAACTGCACAATTCAAATCCTAGGCCCTGGGGAACAGCAGTTAGCGTAATGGCTATGTCGCTGAACTCCCATGTAGCCAACCGCGGTTCAAGTCCCGGACCCAGTAGCTTAAACTCACACTGGGCGCATGTACATGTGTGCCCAAGATCCCAAGAGGAGAATGGAGGAGAAGGGATTGTGGTGTGGCCATTCTCCCCGGGAGGGTGAATTCTCACTTTCTATCTCTCTGTCTCTCTCTGTCATTCTGGCAAGCACATGCACCCTATATCTCTGGCAACCACATGCCCCCAAGATCAAAACCCTCTCAAAAAAAAAAAAAAATCCTAGGCCCTGCAACTTGAAAAACACACTGTGTACATGTGTGGGCATGCCCCAAATCCCAAGAGGGTGAAGAAGTGGAGGAGAACGGATTGTGGAATGACCACGCCCCATGGGGTGGTGGGGGGGTGCTTCCTGCCTCACCCTTGCCCTCTGGCAAATTAAAAAACAAAAATAGGGACCAGCAGTTAGCGTAATGACTATGTCGCTGGACTCCCATGTAGCCGACCGCAGTTCAAGTTCCAGACCTGGCAGCTTAAACTCACACCGGGCATGTGTGTGTGAGTGCCCAAGATCCCGGGAGGAGAATGAAGGAGAAGGGATTGTGGCATGGCCATCCCCCTGGAGGGGGATTCTCCTCTTTCTGTCTGGCAAGCATACATGCCCTATAGCAAAAACCTCTCCACTCCCCCACGCCCCCCCCCAAAAAAAACCACCAAGTGAGGAAACAAGGGCATTAAGGACAACATATAATTAATTGTCTTGTCCCAAATGAGCATATATTTAATTGTCTTGTCCCAAAGTCAATTAGGGATTTGATGGGAAAGTGGGAAATCAATTGTCAACTAAAGGATGAGAGTAAAGCAGGAAAGACTTCCAGGGGCCCTACATCAGGTTCCAACGCTATAGCTGAAGTGAAGCAATGGATTGAGCCAGGGATCCAGGTGACACCAGCTAAGAGCTGGCCTCATTAGACACACGGGCTGTTACTTGGGTCACCAATTCTACCTGCCTAGTTACTTTGGCATATAATGAGCTGTTCTTCCGATGCTCTAGAGAAGATCAGTGATTCCCAGTCCTGGTCACATATTGGAATCATCCCAGAATGGGACAGAGATGAGCGGGATAAGATCTCATCAAGATAAGCACAGCTAAGAACCTGGCCTAGATGCCTTAAAAATACCTCCACTCAGGCCAGCAGGTGGCATGGAGGTTAACACACTGGATCCCGCAGGGCCAGCTAAGCAGTTCAAGAATCAGAGCTAGTGGCTTAAAAATAACACTGGGCTCAAAATCCTGAGAGGAGAGTGGAGGAGAAGAGATTGTGGCATGGCCATCACCCTTTAATGAGTCCAGCACCTTAAACACTATACCACCTGCTGGTCCCTGATTGGGGCTAGGTCCTGGGAATCACATTTTTTAAAACTCTGCAAACTCTAATTTGCAGCCAGGGTTAAGAATCACTGTTAAAGGGACCAGCAGTTAGCGTAATGGCTATGTCACTGGACTCACGCATAGTCAACTGCAGTTCGAGTCCCGGACCCGGTGGCTTAAACTTATGCCGGGCGCGTGTGCATGCGTGCCCAAGATCC